GGATTGGATCCATAATCCTACTCTTGTGCTTGGTGGCCCAAGTCCACTTGGATTGGATTACTTCTAAATTCCATTCCTGTCAAGCTCAATTTTAGTAGGATTAGGAATCCCTCAAAAACTAAGGGTGGACATTTAAACTGAAAAATCGAAAAACTGAGCCGACAAAAAATCGCAATTTTGTATGGTTCTAGTTCTGATTCTTGTAGTGAAAACCAGATCGACTACGTATTTTTAAAATTTTTAATAAATATTTAACCCCATTGCTAAATTTGTAAGCCTATAACTAATCTTTTTCTAAATCACCTATATTTTTTAGGCCTAACCACTTCCCTTTGCATTAAATTAGGTTCCTTGTGAATTTTTAAAATTCAATTTTATTTTATTTTTAACAAAGATTTCAGTCCAAAACCAACTTATGGGCAAATCAGACCGCACTGAAATGAATAATTTTTTTATCAAAACCAAACCAAACCAGACCAAATGAATAGTGCTAGTTCCGATTTGGGGTGAGAACCAGATCGTGATAACCCCTAATGAAAACTATGGGATAAACTCGGATATGCTACGATCGAGTGCAACCCAACCCCGATAAATTAGGTCGCAGTCGTCTCCTCCAATCTTCATCCCCAACATTAAGCCTCCATCACCTGGACGATAACTCAGCCATCTCCCACAAACTTGAGCAATTTCCAGCAAAACCCACCCATCTCTTGCCCAAACCATTTCATCACTGATCATATTTCTCCTATGAACTTCTTCATCATAGGTGATCATTTCATCACTGAGATTCTCAACATCTCAGTGATGAAATGATCGATGAGTTTTGTCTAGATTGTATGTGAGTTTTGATTATTAAATTCTTTGACAATATTTGAGTAGTTTACAGGTTAGGATAAAGCTTGAATTCACCGGAAAATTTTCATTTTTTCTATAAATATTTGACATACAATATTGGATTTTTTTTCATTTTCTATTTTACATTTCCTGGGTTTTTGTAATGTTTGACATCTGTGTGTGTCTGGGACTGCAACTAGGTATATTCTTTGAAGGCCCAATTTTGTCTTTTATAAATTTACAACTGCTATTAAATTTCTAATATCCATTTAAGCAATTAACAGAGCGGAGATAAACAAATTTGATCATGATTATTTATAAATTTATATAAATTATGGTTATTTATAGTATTTTTTTGGATTTATAATTTTATTTTATTTTATGGGAATTTGACTTTTTATCTTATTGGGAAATTACTGTTTTTATTTATTTTATTACAAAATTGTTATTTTTCACATAGAAAAATTGTAGAATAATATATATTTAAAATAGGCAATGATTTCCCCACTTCTATTTTATCCACTTACACTCCTTTTTTAGTTATAAAAAAGGAGTGTAAATGGATAAAATAAGAGAAAAAGGAGTGGGGAAATCACCACTCTTTAAAATTAATATAAATAGAAAAAATTAATATTACATCCATCATAAGTGCAAAATTTAAAACTAAACACAAAGTCTTCATAGGATTGTTCAAATCATAAGAATAAAAATAAAAAAAGCAACACAAAAACAAATTAAAGCATTGAGAAGCCACTTCTCAAATTTCTAACTTCATTCATCATTGTCATCACAAGTAAATATGATTGCTTGTAATTCCTTCTTCCTATTTCTTCTTCTTTTATAGTTATTCTCTGTTGTTGACGTGAGTCTCCTAATTAATCAAAGAGATTTATTTCCTTGATTAATTAAAGGATTTACTTTCCTTAGGAGATACTATCCTTATGGAGAAGAATAAAACCAAACCCAAAGTATTCAAATCATATTCATATTTTAGCATGCTATCAGTGCAATCGGTCCAAGGTATTTCTCATATTCAAATCCGACACCCTAAATCAAATTCCTCATATTTTTCCCCAAATCCAAATTTCACATCTAGATTCTGTATTACTTGTTCCATCTTTGGACCATAACTTGCTATCTGTTGCACAACTTACTATTACTTTGAGGTGTACTGTAACATTTTGGTCGAATCATTGTGTTTTTCAGGACATCCTCATAGGAAAGACAATTGGTTGTGGTACTCGATGGGGCAAACTCTATTACTTGGACTGGGCACCGGATAGTGAGGTCAAGGTTGGTCAAGCCTTCACAACCAGTGGAACTCATTTTGAAGATGAGAGAGACAAAATTTGGTTATGGAATAAACGTCTTGAGCATGCCTCGTTCGGTTATCTTAAGAAGTTGTTTCCATCATTATTTTCCAGTCTTGATGTTTCCAGCTTCCAGTGTGATACGTGTGAATTGGCTAAGAGCCATTGTGTCCCGTTTCCATTAAGTTCAAATAAGAGTTTGGTTCTGTTTTCCCTTGTTCATTCTGATGTTTGAGGACTTGCTAAAATTGCCACTCCGACAGGGGTGCGATAGTTTGTCACATTTATAGATGATTGCACACGCAAGACTTGGGTTTCCCTTCTCCAAACTAAAGGGGAAGTCAGTTCCAGGTTTCAACAGATTTATCAAATGATGGAGACTCAATTTCATGCCAGAATTCAGTTTCATAACCCTAAACAAGAATGCTTGGATGTAAGCCTGCTGACATACCCATTGAGATGAATCACAAGTTATGTGAAGACATGGACCAAGAACCAACCAATAAGGAATAGTACCAATGCCTTGTTGGACGGTTGATATATCTGGCACACACAAGACCAGATATTGCATATGTTGTGAGTGTGGTTAGTCAGTTTATGCATTCGCCCAGTGTTTCTCATATGAATAATGCAGTTGATCGGATCTTAAGATACTTAAAGTCAGCCCCTGGGAAAGGATTAATGTTATAAAAAATGGAGATCTTGAAGTTGTTTGATATACAGATGTTGATTGGGTTGGTTCCATTACAGATAGACACTTTACTTCAGGTTACTTTACATTCATAGGAGGTAACCTAGTCACTTGGTGAAGTAAAAAGCAAAATGTGGTGTCTCGGACTAGTGCAGAAACAGAGTATCAAGGAATGGCTCACAGAGTTTGTGAATTATTGTAGATCAGAAGACTTTTGACATAATTGGACTTCAAGCCAGAAAACCCAATGCAGTTGCATTGTGACAACCAGTCAGCTATCAATATTACCCATAATCCAGTTCAACAAGATCGAACCAAACATGTTGAGGTGGATAGACATTTTATGAAAGAAAAAATTGAGAAGAAGATCATCCACCTACCATTTGTAAAATCAGAAGATTAACTGGCAGATATCTTAACAAAAACTGTTTGTGGTAGAGTATTTCATGACTCACTTACCAAGTTGGGCATTGGTGACATACATGCACCAACTTGAGGAGGAGTGTTGACGTGAGTCTCCTAATTAATCAAGGAGATTTATTTCCTTAATTAATTAAGGGATTTACTTTCCTATTCTATATAGTTGACAAATTATTGTATAATTAGGAGATATTATCCTAATTGATTACTGTATCAATTTTCTTGTAAAGCACTCATGTAAACTCTTATATATACCTCCTTATGAAGAAGAATAAAACCTAACCCAAAGTATTCAAACCATATTCATTTTTTAGCATTCTCTCCCAAATGAAATGAAGACCTAGCTTCTATCAAGAAGAAGAGGCTGAGTGTATACAAATTGAGTTTTTAAAATTAACATTATCATAAGACAATAGGAGTATCGACATATCGGATACGAGTATCGGAGTATCAGATACGAGCACACCCCTCTAGTTAAGAGTATCGGTGCAACATAGTTGGTCATTAAGGTCTACAAGAATCGATTAAATATCTTTCCAACGATCAAGTTTTTTCTAGTTTTTGGAAATACTTAATAGTGTTGTTTTTGTATCCAAATTATTTTAGTTATGTGAGACAAATTGTATAGAAAAGTGATCAAGTTTTTTCTAGTTTTTGGAAATACTTAATAGTGTTGTTTTTGTAGCCAAGTTATTTTGGTTATGTGAGACAAATTGTATAGAAAAGTGAGAAGTAGAGAAAGAAAATAGAAATTGTTCTTAAAAGTATCTTTTGTGCTTCATAAAGCACCTGTACTGGTAATTACCATAATAAGTGTATAGGTTACAAAACATAGAAATTGTGGAGATTATATGAATGTTATGGTGGTCACTCACATTCTATATTGTTTACCTGAACTCTACCGACTTGAATAAAGAAATGTATCAAAGATTGGTTGGACAATTGATTTACTTGTAACACACACCTCGTGGCATATACTGTGAGTGTGGTTTAGTCAATTCATGCATGCTCACAGTAAAGATCATGTAAATTATGTAAGTCATTTATATACTTAGATATTTGACTCTAGCAACAAGGAAATGACTTATGTTCTCTAAGCATGGGCATTTAAATGTGGAAGAGGTACACCGATGTTGATTGGGCAGGTAGTATCATTGCCATGAGCTCTACATCAAGTACATTGGTTGGAGGTAATTTCTCACTTGGCATAGCAATAAGCAAAAGATGGCGGAGTACAAAGTAATGGTTCAAGGAATCTATGAACTTCTGTTATTGATAATGTACAAAATAATGATTCTACATATTGAAGTGGATAGGCATTTTATTAAAAAATAAAGGGAATTAATATTCCATTTGTCAAGACTAAAGACCAATTAGTCCATATTCTGTCCGAGACAATTAAAAAATAAGGTGTTACAACTCATTGGTCAAGTTGAGGATTGGAGGTAAGTGTTCACCAATTTGAGCGAGAGTGTTAGTGTGAATTGTAAATATAACCTAATTTGTAGTCTCCTATTTGGACATTATTAGGTTTAATTACTTTACTTAAGGTCCACTTCTCGTAAATCCTACTCGTAACAAGGAGAAGAATACATATTTGAGAGTTTTATCGTATTCATTTCGACACCGAAATTTTTTCTTAACGTATGCACCTAAATGAAATTCATTCAGTTTAGCTCCAAAAGGATTCCGTTGTGGAGTGAAACCTTCTTGTTGATTATTAAACCTAAGTAAAGATGAAGATTAAAAGTATCTTAAATCAATCCCACTCAAAATTTAATCAACAATGTCTCATAGACCACATACATATCCACCCACGCAAATGTAGCGGTTATACGAAATGAAAACTTATCTTTGGCTATATGATATCCCACAACTTTCTTTTCCTCTCTTCTCTTATCTTTTCACACAAATATACATTTATACTATATATGGTACAATAATTAGTAATATTTGGGTTAATTCTAAATTAGGGAATGTAGGAAACAACTACTATCTTGCCTTGGACAATTGTATAGCTTCTTGATCATGTGTAGACTCTTCAGCCCAGGCAAACTGGTGATGAGACAGGAGTGAGAATTCGCGACTCCTTACATCCTCAAGCTGCTCCCACTCTGCCCATCTCTCTGCTAGATCCACTCCCTGCAGCAATCTAACCACTTGTGCCATTGTCGGACGGTCCTCGGGTGAGCTTTGAGTGCAAAGCAATGCAACCTGAATGACAGTTTCAACCTCTTTTGGATCGTGCATCTTCATGTTTCCATCCACAATGTCATCAAGCCTATTTTCTCTCTGAAGCTTCTTGATCTGTTGAGATCATATTTACATAATTTAATTAAGATATCAAATAGGAAGCAGCGACAAAGCATTGAAGAAGACTGTATTCGCAAAACACTTCAATGTGGTTGAAACTTGTTTCCAAAATATCGAGCTACATTGAGCAAGATTGAAGTTAAAGGTGACAATTTACACAGGCATCATGGAAAATGTCAAGCAAGAATTATCTAGGACTAGTTTCTTAGATAAAATTAATCCCTAGTAATGAACATGAGCTGATTCTTACTAGATTATATAATAGTTAAGAGTTAGAAAGCCCCCTCCTCCCTCTCTAAGAAAATTTGGCGAACCCTATAACAGTTCCCTAGCCATCCCGCCCATTCCTCCAAAATAAGGTGTAGCTGCTACTTGTTCCCCAAGAAACACCATAGTCACAATCACATCACACACTCTCATGATGATCAATAGAGCATAAATATATTGCAGTTAAGTTTCTTTAGCCCAAATTAAGTACTGCTTGTAACACTCTCATCCACCCAATGTTAGACAAGGTAATCTATGCAAATATTCTACATATCTAAAGTCGCCTGGGATATTTGGAGCATGCCATGCCTGACAATCTTCTTTCTAGCATCTCCATTCAATCCTGCCAATTTGTGGTCTTGTGACTTCAACCTCATAGTATTATCCCTATCCTAGAGAAAAGGTTCCATTGACCCAAAATTTCTACTACTAGTTCATAAAATTGAATAGTGGCATGCTCACCAACTAAAAGGGGTAGACATCCTTTTCTAACAATCCCATGAAGGATTATATAAATCTTCAGAGAAAGGCAGAGAAAACTTGAGAAATGAACTAATTATGTACTCGCTCATCAATTATGCACATCGATTATCAGGGAGAAAAAAGCAGAAAAGCAAAAAACTTGACAAACTAACTGATAGATGATAAAAGATAAAAGATAAAAGCTGCCATAAAGGAGAGGTACCATTTTAACAGATAAGAATCCCGTCAAGTATAGATATGTCCAAAGAGTTCAGGAAGTCATATAGGAGACTATAAATCTTACATGATCAAGCAGAAGAACATCCTCCTCTTCTTCAAGCCGAGCAAAATCTATAGCACGCTGACCAGTGACAAGTTCGAGAAGTGTGATACCATATCCAAAAACATCAGTCTTTTCTGACGATTTTCCAGTGGACAAATATTCTGGGGCAATATGACCCATGGTACCACGCACTTGAGTGGTAACGTGAGTTGATTTTGTATCAACCAGCTTTGCTAGCCCAAAATCTCCAAGAACGGGCTCAAAATTATCATCTAGAAGAATGTTTGCAGCCTTTAAGTCACGGTGTATAATCTTAGGATTACAATGCTCATGTAAATACTCTAAGCCATGGGCTGCACCAAAAGCGATGCGTTTCCTTGTTGACCAGTCCAAGCCTTTCTCACCAGGTTTTAAATCTAACACATATATCAGGAAGAAAATGTTATGAATTAAAAATATTGAACAGTAGATATATGAGAATCATGATATGCCATTCCAAAGAATTAAGTGATGATTAACCTTCAAACGAACAAGCATAAAATACAAATGATGTAAATCCCATCTTCCCCCTTAAGAAGTAGGGAGGGGGGTTGATGTTCAGGATGTCCTTACTTGAATATTGAGTTGGTTGAAGAAAATAGAAATTTGGATTTGGGAATTTGAATCACAAAATGGTGGTTATATATCAATACGTGCGATGAAAGACCTCCTCCATAAGTATGGGCTGGAAGGTGAGGTTGACCGTAGGATACCTAATGGGTGTAAGTAAAATTACCAAGAAAAACAACAAAGGAAGTAGGGATTAGGGAGTGTCTCAGAAAAAAATTCGAAGATGGTACCTCATGTCATAATATGTTGCAGAATTCTATTGCTAAATTAAACCACAAAAACAGAAGTAAAATTATAGGCTCTCAAATGAAACAGAACTTGGCAACAGCAATGATTTTTTCTTTTTTCTTTTGGGACTGAATACTGAATTAGGGCTTCTAATCACTTACCAAGCACAAAAAGAAGTTCAAACCATGGTTGTAAAACATGCTTGGGTTCCGAGCCACTCACACTGAAAAATGCAGAGGGGAAATAGAAAAGTAAACTCAAGCAATGCTCTTTTAGGACATACCTCTCAAGCGATATGCAACACTAAGATTTTTCATGAATGGATAAACAAGGATTCTCTCGGATGAAGCTGTACAAAATCCAATCAACCGTAAAAGATTCTTGTGAACTGCAACACTAATGAGTTGTACTTCTCTCAAGAATGCAGCCTCTCCACCAGGACTGTTATAATCTGTAAGGCGTTTCACTGCAACCTTTACATTGTCTGAGAGGACACCTTTATAAACTCTTCCAAAGCCTCCTTGTCCAATTATGTTGCTTTCATCGAAGTTATCTGTAGCAAGCTGAATTTCACGCCAAGAAAATCTTCTTAACTGGCCAAAGGAAATTTTGCACTCATCTTCACCTAAGATTACATTAAAATTAGAAAAGGGGGTCGAGTAGATGTTAGTTTGACAAGATTGTGTAGCTCGTGATGCGACTTCAGGCATTTGGACTTTTGAATACAGATTAAACGAATACATAAATCAAACTTGGTAAGTGATTATTTACACATCTGACTTACAAAAGGTCGGGATCGATTCTAACTTAACTAGGTTGAGATGATTTCAAATTTAAATTTCCATAACAATGCTTAGTACAAACTAAAAGTGATCTCAAAAGTAAAAGGTAAGGAAAATTTACCTGTAACATCAACAAAGACATCATGTGTTAGTTTGTGCATGCGATAATATCGATAAGTGAAAAGAGCCCCAATCAAAAGAATTACTGTTACACCACAACTTGCCGAAGTTATAACCGTTCCAAATTTTGATTTCTTGGTTGAAACTGCCAAATTTTAAAATATTAGGTTATTCCTAGGTAATTCAAACATAGTTGGTAAACTGAAATAGTAGAGTTGTACAAAGAATAAACCTCGGAGAACAGAGCCAGAAGCACAAGGCTGCTTCAAGCTAGAACCACAAGCAAGACGTGCTCCTGTAAAACTGTAAGGACAAAACAATTAATAGCAAACCATTAAGGATATATAATATAACTATTGGACAAGTATACAGTAAGTTGCAAACTATAGAATGTAGACGCAAGGCTGAAGGAAAATATTATAATAATGGAAAGGTCATCTAGAACCAAATTGCACAACATTGGAACCAAAGGAGTTTATGCCATTTTTTATTATAATAAGTAGGAATTTAAGCATTTGAAAAATAATATATATACATCCAAAATGATACTTGTGCTTGATGAAACTATTATAAGTGGCAGTCCAGAAGTCAGATCCTATACCTCCAACTTACTGTAATAGAAGAAGAACTAAACTCGTCTCTTAATGACCATAGCACCATTTCATGATAAAGACATTATCATACATCTTTAGTGCTGGAACTCTCTCAAACCTCTTAGTTAGAATTCTAGATTTTTAATGGGCTGGTCAGCCTGGTCCTACACCAAAAATAGGGGTGCGCGAAACCAGCCTGAACCAGACCGAACCAGCTGGTTTGGTTAGGATTTTGACAAAAATTAAGGTCAAACGGTTCACAGCTGAGCTCAGTTCAGCTGGTGGTTTCAATTCCCTCAGGAACGAGAGAACATAACCGAATCGATTCCCACTCTTTTTATTAATTCCACCCGTATCCCTCCTATAAAATCATCTTTTTCCCCTAGCTCTAGCCACATAAACCTATCTCTCCAGTGAAGGAATTAAACAAAGACATCCTTCGCATAACTCCTTTAGCATGCAGACAAACACAAAATAAGGCTGTATTTAAAAATAATATATATTATATGAGTATGATATATATCCAATTTTCTATAACACGGTTAACCATACTTGTGGATAACCAAGGTTGCCTGGCCAGTGCATGTTGGTAAACTGGCCGTGCAAAATCTGGTTATCCACAAGTGTGGTTAACCATATTATAGAAACATGGATATATATAAGTAATCCCCATTAACTCTCTTACAATAAGAAATCGTAATTATTGCTGATGCCAATACATCAATACAAGGGAATATAAAAGGAAATGAGAATCAGAGTTTAATGGGATTTACTTGAATTTTGGAATTGTAAAGAATTGCATTGGAACTCTTCCGGTTAACTCATTCGATGAAAGATCCCTGCCCAAAAAAAAAAAAGGAATTTATAAATGGTAAAGAATTTCACAGTGTGCAAGCTCAGATGGGCATGCAATTTATATTCAGGCAATAAGTCAAGCGGCAGGATTGCGAAAAAAAGGAATTGCTTACAGTTCAGTCAACCCGCTAATATTTGAAAGTGAATCCGGAATATGTCCAGATATGTGGTTACCCCTCAATACCCTGAAGCACAGGTAAGATGATTAATTTTTCTTTTCTGGAGAACAGGAAAGTGTTCACAAGATAGTACTTTCCAATATAAACAGTTGTAGAACACTCAGATAAGACAACAGCATAAGTAACTGCTACAGATCAAGGCAATTCCCCAATAAATACAAGAACATTTTATATATATAGAAGAATAAGAAAGTTGGAATCTTTTAGGAATGGAAATGCAGCCTTACAAATGCTTTAAACTGGACAGTTGACCCCAGGTATTGGGTATAGGACCTCTGAAATTATTGTTTGCGAGATTTAGATTCTGTAGATGTGTCATGTTGGCAAGATAAATGGGTAACAGGCCCGTTAGACTATTATCCTGGAAGTCCCTGCATAAATAAAGTTATTTTATCAAAATTCATAACTGGATGGAAAAAAATATATTCTTCAGAATTAAACAAACAAGAACTACAATAATGAAGGTGTTGGTACTATGTTCCACTTTTTTCTATGACTCAGTTGACAGTATGTAAAGTTACAATGATAAAGGGAAAACTTAAATTCTCCCTCTCTCTCTCTCTCTCTCTCTCTCTCTCTCTCTCTCTCTCTCTTTTGGTACCAGAGCACAAACTACTGATCCAAATCAGGTTTCAGCCAATGGAAATAGTTATGTTACATTTTCTGACACCATCAGCCCCAGAATACTAATGCATCAAGAAGTTGACTTACAGGCTAGCCAAAAATTTCAGTTTAGTAATCGAAGGAGAAAGCGTTCCAGAAAATCCATTTGATGCCAGGCTCCTGCAAAGTAGTACATTCACAAACTAAATGTACTGCAATGATAAATGATTTTCAAAGATGGCGATATTAATAAAATATATATTTTTCATGACCATAAAAGTTAGTTTAACTTACAGGGATATGACATTTCCATTTCTACAAGTGACATGAGACCAGCTAAAACAGGGGCTAACGAGATTATAATTCCAATCTGTTATTCGGCCACTGGAATCATTCAGTGCCCTAAGCAAATCGATCAATGCTTCACCTGCACATTATCGTAAGTGAAGAACGAAATTGTATGTAGAGCCATAAATGGCCGGTGAAAAGAACCTTTGTTTATATTACAATTCTGATAAATGAAAAATGAAAAATTCTTGGACTTTTTCATATATGTCATTCACTTAGACTAGTTATCAAGATTGAACAATAGATGACAACACTCTTAACTAAGTAGTGAGAAAAGTAACACTTAAATCATATCCGCATTGATAATTTCAGAACCAACGTCATTTTACAACCAGAAATAAATATTGCTTAATAACAAATAATAGTTAGATATCACCATACCTTCAACATCTGGATCTGTAGATGCAAAACTGACTCTTAGCAAAAGGAGTAACATTAGCCAATTTATGATTGGCTTTAAAAGATGCCAGCTAGAAAATGCTGCAGACATGTCTCCTGAACTACCGACGATTATTCACCCAGGCACCTCTAGCCTCTTTATGGGAAGACTGCATAAATAATAATAAAAAAGCATTTTCAGTTGAGAGTAGAAGAGATTCCTGCCTGGAAAGCAAAGAAAAAAAATTTATAATTGTACAGATGGAACTTAATACATCTACTACAATGAAGGACAGGGAAAATACACATGTTTTTGGGGTAAAATCCACAACAGAATTAATAAAATATAAAATCAGTGCATTATGTTTTGGGGAAAATACACATGTTTTTGGGTTCATTCCTGTAACAACTACTTCTGTTTATGCTGTTGACATTGCTTACCCTCATAACTTGTGGGGCCTTTTCTGGACCAGAAGCATTTGTTACCTTTGGTACTAGCCCTGCAATCTAGTAGCTCAATGTTTTAGGATTATGTATTCCAGCTCTCATCTGATCAAATACTGACTTGATTTTGGACATGGAATATTACATAACGATACGATTATGAGAATTTTATCTTTTTCTTTAACTTTTATGTTATACTGATTTGGAATTTTTTGTCCATAAGTTTGCTATTATAGTAATTTGGTTTTGGACATTGATGTACTAACTATGCAATAATAGGATTGCATGATCTCCTTTCTACAAATTTGCAGTTATAGTGTTCGGGATTTTCTAAATGTTAATTCTCTGCGTGGGAGTATTTATGAGACTAGGAGTTCTTGCAGTGATCTAAACTCACTTCAAAGAAATGATGTGACCAGAATTCCAAGTAGTTCACCTCAAATGCACTTAGAAACCCAGAAATTAGAAATCATTTTGGTATTCAACCCCTGAGATTAAAGCTTCCTCGAAGGTGAATGAAATTTTCATATACAACCTGAAAAGAAAACCCTTTTGGAATATCATTGCCTCTTCAGACAGAGTAACCTAAAACAGTCATTCTAGACACCGCCAATGTCTGTTGGCTGAAGAGGAGAATATGAGTTTTTACAATCAGACCCAGTCCCAATTTCTAATACAACCCAACCAAGATAATTGAAATATAGTTACAATATAAATAAATGAAAAACAAAACAAAACAAAATGGAACATATAAAACTAAAAAAAGTGAAAGAAAACAAGAACTTACTAGTTTCAGCCATGGCTGTTGCAACCCACCAGGACACAAGATAACATGGCTCAAGAAGGAGAAGAAGTTAAATAATGTGATTATTATTATTATTGTTGTGATCATGATTGATTGTGAAGATATGAATTGAGTGCTGCTGGGTTAGTGCAAGGGTCCACAAGGCACTGAGAATAAAAAATAAAAAAATAAAAAAATAAAAGGTGGGAAGAATGAAGAAAGAGGAATTTGGGAAGGCCAGTGGCAGAGAATAATATGAGAGAGAGCCACTTGGGGTTGGGTTAGGGGGTTGTGCTGCTGTGGAGTGTGGAGTTTGGAATGTGGAATAAGAATCAGAATCCCACTAATCACTGGGTCACTGGGCTTTAAAGTGATAACAACCATTATCTTGTTTTCTTTTATTCAGATAACAGCCATTTGGCCTGATCAGAATGTCTTTTAGATGCAATTGCAGTGTTAAGTCACCTCGCATGATTGTTTGGTAAAGTCGTTTTTACATTTCATGGCAATGTAAAATCTGTTCTATGTTTGTGCAAGGGAAATTAGTCAAACAATATGGGTAGAATATTTTTCATATGTATTTCATTCTCCGGAATGAGGTATTTATAATACAAGGTTACAAACCCTACTAGGGTTATACTAGGAAATAAGAAAAGTCATAATTACATAATATCTATACAAAAAGGAAACAAATAAAATCCTAATAGAATAAGAAAGAAATATAATAATAAGACTATGATATCTCGCCAACACTCCCCCTCAAGTTGGAGCAAAGACGTCACGCATGCCCAACTTGTCAAGCGAGTTGTGGAAGATACTAGTAGAAACAGCCTTTGTAAGGACATCTGCTAACTGATACTCAGAACTGATGAATGGGAAGAAAACAATCTCCGCATCCAACTTTTCTTTAATGAAATTTCGATCAACCTCCACATGCTTTGTACGATCATGTTGTACAGGGTTATGAGCAATTGCAATCGCAGCCTTATTATCGCAATATAAATCCATAGGTTTCTTAGGCCCAAAGCCAAGATCTCTCAATAATCTCCTCAACCACAGTAACTCACATACACCATGGGTCATTCCACGATACTCGGCCTCAGCACTAGATTGAGACACCACCTTTTGTTTCTTGCTTCTCCAAGTAACAAAATTACCACCAACAAACATAAAATACCCAGACGTAGAACGTCTATCAGTAGCCGAACCTGCCCAATCAGCATCGGTGTATCCTTCCACATCTGTATGACCATACTTGGAAAACATTAACCATTTTCTAGGAGTTACTTTCAGATATCTCAAGATGCGCATGACAGCACACATATGATCTTCACTAGGAGAATGCATAAACTGACTCACTACACTCATTGCATATGCAATATCAGGACGTATATGAGATAAATAAATCAATTTCAACACAAGTCGTTGATAACGCTCTTTATCTGTATGGACTTTATCAGGATACAACCCCAACTTATGATTCTGTTCACTAGGGGTATCAATTGGTTTACAATCTAACATTCCAGTCTCTGCAAGTAAATCCAAAATATATTTTCTTTGAGACAGAAAAATACCATGTTTAGATCTAGCAACTTCAATCCCAAGAAAGTACTTCAAATCACCCAATGACTTCATCTCAAACTCGGAAGCCAGATACTTCTGAAGATTTTGCATTTCCGCCTGATCATCTCCAGTCACAATTATATCATCAACATAAATAATTAAAGCTGTCAATTTACCTTTATGACACTTTAGAAACAAAGTATGGTCTGAGTTACTCTGTACATACCCAAATTTCACCACGTAGAAATGCATTTTTGACATCGAATTGTAATAAGGTGGCAGGGCCCGTCCCGAAATTTCTCGGAACCTGAGACGGACCCCGCCTAATTACCGACATCAACCCGCTGCCGGGCCCACTTCCTAAAGACTGAGACTTTCTACCAAAAATTTGGCAGAGTCTCCCCTGTAAATTGAACATTTCCAAATTTCAACCTGTTCAAAATTTACAGTTAAATACAACCAATTGGCAGCATGCTTTACAAGCAATAAAATAATTTACAAACAAGGCCTCCAGGCCTCACAAAATTTAAACCCTCAGCGGGAGATACAGAGCATATCTACGGAATTCAAAATACAACCGAAGTACCGTTTAACTGAAAGGAAAAAGTAACAAGAGTCTCTACGAAGATTAGAGTTCCAGGATGCACCCGGTCCGGCTCAACTGTAGAGCTCAGTCGCTACTGGCTGGGGGCGCAAAACAGAAAGTT